TGTGTAGAGCAGGTGAAAGTGTGCTACTGCAGACCTGAGAGAATCAAGTGCAGCTGATATCTGCTGCATGTCACCCACTCACTTTCTAGTTCCAGCTTTCCTTTCACCACAGTGTTGAAACAAGTGGGTTTGAGACCTTCAGAACTCAACTTTTCAAGTTCTAACAAAACCCTGTAACTTGTTTTCTTTAAAAAAAAAAAAAAAGACTCAGAGAAGCACAAACTAAGATCTCTACGTATCTAAGGTTATGCCGTTAGAAATTGAACAGTTCTCAAAGTGTAATTTCTCACATGAAAACAAACAGCGTGTGGAAATAACCTGCATCTTGTCCCCCTTTATCAACATCACATTTGGTGTCAAACTTTGCAAACATTCTTCTGAGAATCATAACGTTGTCAGATCCAGATACCTGTGAAAATAAATGTAATCAGTGTTGGGGAAGACACTTTTCAAATGTAATGAATTACATATTATTACTATTAATGAATATTAATTAAAACCTAGGTGGTATCTTATTATTTTTAAAGTCATTTGTAAATTACTATTGCAAAGCATTCTAACAAAAACCTGTAACTTGTTTTTTTTAAAAAAAAAAAAAAAAAGACTCCGAGAAGCACAAACTAAGATCTCTACGTATCTAAGGTTATGCCGTTAGAAATTGAACAGTTCTCAAAGTGTAATTTCTCACATGAAAACAAACAGCGTGTGGAAATAACCTGCATCTTGTCCCCCTTTATCAACATCACATTTGGTGTCAAACTTTGCAAACATTCTTCTGAGAATCATAACGTTGTCAGATCCAGATACCTGTGAAAATAAATGTAATCAGTGTTGGGGAAGACACTTTTCAAATGTAATGAATTACATATTATTACTATTAATGAATATTAATTAAAACCTAGGTGGTATCTTATTATTTTTAAAGTCATTTGTAAATTACTATTGCAAAGCATCTGCATAAATAAAGCGTCGGTTTAATATATAGATGAATTATTAAGCCCTTATGCTTTTGTAATGGTCAAGAATGTAGGCCACAACAATGCTAGGCTACCCAAAATATACAGTGGGTACGGAAAGTATTCAGACCCCCTTAAATTTTTCACTCTTTGTTATATTGCAGCCATATGCTAAAATCATTTAAGCTCATTTTTTTCCTCATTAATGTACACACAGCACCCCATATTGACAGAAAAACACAGAATTTTTGACATTTTTGCAGATTTATTAAAAAAGAAAAACTGAAATATCACATGGTCATAAGTATTCAGACCCTTTGCT